TATTGATATACCCTGAACCCATTGAAAATGGGAAATCAGGGTATAATGGTTTTGTTAAAAGTATGTAACAGATAGAAGGAGGCGTGGCAGACCCCACAAAGTATATATATTCTTGATCAGGGCGACGAGCTAAGTAGATTTGGCCCTGTCCGTCTGTCTGTCCGTCCGTCCGTCCGTCCGTCCGTCCGTATGTATGAACGCGTCGATTTCAGAAGATATAAGAGCTAGAGACTTGAAATTTTTTTTCCTAGGTCCGTGTATATCACGCGCATATCAAGTTTTTCTTTTTATATCGATAACTGCTCCCGATAATTTATTATCGATCAAAAACCTTATCGAAAGCTAGTTATTTAATTATACCTCCTACACCTTTAGAGCTAGAGCTTCCAAATTTTATATGTAGACTTATATGCATTTTATATAATTTCGATTTTTGTTGTAATTTACCCCCCACCCCTATATCCACCCCCTCACCATCACCTTTGTAAAAGGCGTATTTAAAGTATTAGAAACTTGTGCTTTGGAATGTACATATATTTGAATATTATGATTATGTTCTGAAAGTTTCATTAAGATTGTACGTCTAGAAATTAAAATATTCAACAAATAAATCCTTATAATGTTGCCCACACTGCAGCGCAGCCCAAGCGCAGTCGCTGCTTACTGCGCAGTTAGCAGAGCGCGTTCTAATACGTAGATGTGTATGTACGTGTGCCGAAAAGAAGTGCAGAGTGATTAGAATATCAGATTAGAGGGTTCAGGGTATCTCCTAGTCGAGCAGTCTCGACTAGAGTCTTCTTACTTGTTTTTATTTTCGTTTTATATAAATATACAACAGTTATAAATAATAGCTGTAAATGAAGTCAGAAACAGTACCGTTTTATAAATGCAGACTTTAACAAAAAATGGAGTACATTGTAATTATTTAAAATTTTCGATAGTACTATCGATAATATCGATGGTTTTCACTATCGGATGTGTAAAAAATCGATGGCCTCACTATCGATAGTTTTGCATCCCTACCACGCCCCCTTTGCCCCCAAATTTGTAAAAAACGTATTTCAGGTACTAGAGACTTGTGCTTTGGAATGTACACACATTTTAACCATCAGGTCATCAGCGCCCCCTCTTTACACTCAATTAAAAAGCTGAATGAAAGCTAAACCATCAGAGCTTCATCTTTAATTTTTTTTGTATTATACGACATATATTTCTCTTTAAAATAAAAAAACAGTGGCTACTGTAGCAATAGGGAATAGTTTTTAAAAAATGTACAAAAAAATGTAACAAAATTTGGTCATCAGACTTGCGCCCCCTTCGATAAATTCAATTTATTTAAGTTAATGACTAAAAATAACACCTGTATATTAAGTTTTATTATTTTTAAGTAATATTAGTAGTGCGTAGTGCCGTTTTTTTTTTTAATTACTTCAAAAATTCGATTAGGAATGGAATTATAAAGTTGTTCAATATAATCACTGACCAGAGAACACATAGACTAGACATGTAGAACAAACTTTTTCAACACCGAAAAAATGCGCTGAGCGGACCGGACAACTTCGTATTTGGTCGGCTCGGTCTTCTGAGGCTCAAGCAGTGAAAATAAGGCAAGACAAAATCAGTGTGCTGCGACTGCTGCCACGAAATGCACGCATTACTAAATGAAGCACGGCTATGCGCTCTTTTTCCCTTACTCACTCTCTCCCTCTCTTTATGCTCTCTCTCTCTCTCTCTATATGGTCTCTCAAATAGCAGCAGCGCACAGAAATTGAATATTGTTCGCGACGATCCCAGCTCTTTCCTCTTGAGTGAAGGGTATACCGAAATCATAAAAGCATTTGTCACGCTCATGCAAACAAAATGTAAGCGTTTCGATGGTTATTCGTGGGAAGGGTATGAAAGCGTTGATACGCATAAACAATATTATTTCGCGACGGGCAAGTACACACACACTTGTAGTCCCTTGCTACATGTATGAGCATTTGTGACCTGCGTGCGTTACTCTTGCTGCTTGTAGCAATTTTAAAGCCCAGCATTTGCATTTGGTCGGTCTTACGGACTGTCATAACCACTTTAAACAGATGTACTATGTATGAACATACATACATATGTACATAAGTACATTTATATATTATTATTGCTAATCATGTTTATAAATGTGTTTATATCCGTAAATAATTATATATAATTAAAATTATTTTATACACATTTTTAACCGAAAAAATTATCGTAAAACACTACTAACTTTAATAAATGCTTTGCAATATATGAAATACAAATTTCATATTATACTCAAGCTTTACTCATTATTGTCAAAAATTTCTAATTAAGTCATAATGGCCCATTTGATAGTCACCCTACGATTCAAATCATACAAAATTTACAAACTACTAAATCCAGAGACAATTACCTTGCCATCCCATACAAGCATACACATACACAAATTTATGTATGCATGTGCTCACTTCACAAGGCAGACCAACGCAAATTTTGGGCTTTACAATTTGCACAGGCTGTTGTGCACAGAAAGAATACATTTTCGCGACGAGCATGCACACACACATTTACATCCTTGCTACGTGTATGTGCTTTTGTGTGCGTGCGTCGCGAAACTCAATTCTTTCTCAGTATTTTCTTCTATTATCAGCCGTTGGTCTGCCTTGTGAAGTGAGCACATGCATACATACATTTGTGTATGTGTATGCTTGTATGGGATGGCAAGCTAATTGTCTCCGGATTTAGTAGTTTGTAAATTTTGTATGATTTGAATCGTAGGGTGACTATCAAATGGGCCATTATGACTTAATTAGAAATTTTTGACAATAATGAGTAAAGCTTGAGTATAATATGAAATTTGTATTTCATATATTGCAAAGCATTTATTAAAGTTAGTAGTGTTTTACGATAATTTTTTCGCTTAAAAATGTGTATAAAATAATTTTAATTATATATAATTATTTACGGATATAAACACATTTATAAACATGATTAGCAATAATAATATATAAATGTACTTATGTACATATGTATGTATGTTCATACATAGTACATTTGTTTAAAGTGGTTATGACAATCCGTAAGACCGACCAAATGCAAATGCTGGGCTTTAAAATTGCTACAAGCAGCAAGAGTAACGCACGCAGGTCACAAATGCTCATACATGTAGCAAGGGACTACAAGTGTGTGTGTACTTGCCCGTCGCGAAATAATATTGTTTATGCGTATCAACGCTTTCATACCCTTCCCACGAATAACCATCGAAACGCTTACATTTTGTTTGCATGAGCGTGACAAATGCTTTTATGATTTCGGTATACCCTTCACTCAAGAGGAAAGAGCTGGGATCGTCGCGAACAATATTCAATTTCTGTGCGCTGCTGCTATTTGAGAGACCATATAGAGAGAGAGAGAGAGAGCATAAAGAGAGGGAGAGAGTGAGTAAGGGAAAAAGAGCGCATAGCCGTGCTTCATTTAGTAATGCGTGCATTTCGTGGCAGCAGTCGCAGCACACTGATTTTGTCTTGCCTTATTTTCACTGCTTGAGCCTCAGAAGACCGAGCCGACCAAATACGAAGTTGTCCGGTCCGCTCAGCGCATTTTTTCGGTGTTGAAAAAGTTTGTTCTACATGTCTAGTCTATGTGTTCTCTGGTCAGTGATATAATTCAAGGATATGGTTGACCAAACGTGCTTAATACCTTCGATTAACTCTGTTTTTGTACTGATGTACTTTTCTGCCCAACCATCCCCAGACGTTTTCAATGATATTATGTCGATAGTGAAAGCAATCGATAGTAAAACGATTGATGTTTAAAACTATCGAACACCATCTATACTATCGATAGTATCGATTTAATTTAAAATAATTACAATTTACTAAATTTTTTCTTAAAGCCTGAATTTACAGAACGGTACTAAAAAAATTTTTCTGACTTCATTTAGAGCTATTATTTATAATTGTTATAAGTTAATATAAAACGAAAAACAACAATATTTGAAGCAACTTAAGAATAGATTCATTTATAATTTTCACAGCAGTAATAGGTATGTAATGTAAGAAAAACAAGTAAGAGCGTTGCAGTCGGGCGTTACCGACTGCGGAATACTCATTCACACCCCATCAACAATTTAGTAGTTAAGTTTCGCTCCAATACTGTAGAATATACAGGTTTTTCCGATTTGCCACGCCCCAACTGGGCGTAGACACCTCATTTTTGGTCAGTTTTTAGAACGAGATAATGGTACCCTAACTGCAAAGAAGAAGAATGCTTACTTTCAAAAAAAGTGGAAAAACGGGGTATTTTTCGATATGCCACGCCCCTAAAGAGGCGTAAAAATTATTTCTTGGGGAATGGATAGAGGATTGAAGCTTCTAGCTATTATACTTTAGGAGATATAAACTTTTGCGGTTTGCCACGCCCCCTGTGGGCGGACATATATCCGACAAAGCTTTTTGGTCTTGAGTGATCAGCCCGAGTATATATACAAAATTTTAGATCTCTGGCATCAATAGTGTCCAAAATATAGCAGAATTCGAAAAATCACTATATCTTCAGGTCTGATTTGCCACGCTCCTAATGGGCGTAGACTTATAATTTTTAGACTTTATAGAATCATAACATTAGCTGACATGCAAAATTTTAGCATTTCAGCATTCTAGCTATCCGCCATAGCTCGTGATCTTGGGTGGTCGACGCGGACCTACATGCCAAATTTCAGTTTTCTAGCTCTTTAACTAACATGATTTCTGGTATATCGGAAAATGCATTTTCCGATTTGCCACGCCCCTAGTTAGCGGATCGGGAAAATTTTAACACTTTATAAATCGGAGATATACACGAGTATGTGTTACAAATTTCAAGTCTCTAGCTTCAATAGCGCCGAAATAGATTGCGTTCATACGGACAGACGGACAGCAAGACGGACATTGCACAAAACCAATATACTGATTCACTTTCGTGAATGAGTATAAAAAGAAATAAAAACAATATTCAATCTTAAAAGTATTTAAACAACTTAAACCTAAAATCTTCACCAAATATAATATTAAAGCTATCCATCTAGGAGCCAGATGGTTTTATTTAAGAACAGGAAGATATCCACATTTTTTATTTTAAGGCGGGATCGATGTGTGCCCATAATTTCCCCAGCTTTACTAAATTTTCTCTCTGTGCGATGTGCTTAATATGTTGCGCTTTAATCTGCAATATTTTAAATGTTTAGATTGTTATTTTTATAAATTTCATGCAAATTTACCTTCCAGTACTCCATTGGGTCAATATCATGATCAGCATTTTTTCCCCCAATGTATTGCCTAATGGCACTTATTGCATCTGACATACAAGTTCGTTGATTCCGCTGAATTCTATCGGCCAAAAATGTAAGTACATTGTTAGGCTGCATTGGCTGTAAATCGGCTACTGGGTCATTTTCCTCAACATTTATTATGCGCTCCACTTCCGTTTCTAAAACTGTCGAGGGCCCTTGAGCATTGACAGCATTTCCATAAGCTTCCCTGTAGTACTGGAGGTGGCGATTGACCGTAGTTGAACTACCTTCCCCACTAATCCTTACATGGGTACTTACTTGACTGACCCTATGGTAAGCGAACGCCGAACCACCGAGCAACAGAAAACATAAACGAAAAAAAATCGGTACTATCATCACATTTATTTTTGTTTTTTTTGCAAATAGTGCATAGCAAAGGAGCAAAACAATCTTCGCTTTCTGTCGCTGTTTCTTTCCTAGTTTACAAAAACAATTGTTAAGGAAGTACCGTTTCTTTTCGTTTATGCTTTCTGCTCTTCCTCGATGTTCGAAGGCTAGCACTAGTCCTTACATGGGTACTTACTTGACTGACCCTATGGTAAGCGAACGCCGAGCCACCGAGCAACAAACTACATGCATACATATATGCATGAAACGGAATTCCTTTTTGAGCCTTGGGTCCAACATTGTAGCCGAGCGTGGAACTGTTCTGATCTCATAATGTGACAGTCTTTTTTTTATCCGATTAATAATAAAACTGCAAGTTTCGGAACCAATTGAAGTCCTCGTTTTTGTCTTAAGTCCATCCATAGTGCATCCCAAGCCAAAAACACATGGTATGATTAATGACACTGATACTGCCTTCACTCCTGATGCTTTTTTTTGTGACTTGGTCGTTATTCAAAGGTGATGGTGCTTTTGAACTATTTAAAAGGACGTGACCGATAGCATCCCTGACCAATAATATCCGTTGCATTCTTGAATAAGACTGTATGAGTTTTCTTGCTCTTGAGCATTCTTAAGTTTGGCAAATGAGCTGCTCTTGAAATATGTCCCAATTTGTTTTACCATTTCTACAATTTACTTACATATGCGTTTGAGCTTTGAATTAGACATGGGTAGCTCATGAGTGAGTGAGCTAAAATGAATGGTACACTGAACTGAGCCACAGAGCTTGTTCCTACAATATTACTCATTATGGTACACTAGCTCGTATGGCTCATTTTGCGTTCTTCGCAATTGGCGTTTGCAAAGTTAACGCTAACTTTTTTGAATATGTCCGACTATCTGTAGTCGCAAAATACTATCGAGGTATCGCCGCATTAGAAAACGATTGATAGTATCGATAGTACCATCGGTAGTATCGATAGTACCATCGGTAGTATCGATAGTACCATCGATAGTATCGATTGTTTTGCATCCCTTGTAGCCACTCCATGAGATCAATTTTTTGCCCTGAGAACTTCACGGATCGGGCGGTTTGAATCGAAGCATTATCATGCTGGAAAATCTTATGCCGGTTTGTAAACAGGTTATAGAAATGCGGAACAGCAGTTTTAAACACGGTGTTATAGTTCTATGTGTTCATGCGCGATGTCAAAAATTGAAGCTTACAAATGCGGTAGTAAGTTATTGCACCCTATGCCAGATAGATTAATTTAGAATTTCGAATTTTTATACCCTGAACCCATTGAAAATGGGAAATCAGGGTATAATGGTTTTGTTAAAAGTATGTAACAGGCAGAAGGAGGCGTGGCAGACCCCACAAAGTATATATATTCTTGATTGGGGCGACGAGCTGAGTCGATTTGGCCCTGTCCGTCTGTCTGTCCGTCCGTCCGTCCGTCCGTCCGTCCGTCCGTCCGTATGTATGAATCTCAGAAGATATAAGAGCTAGAGACTTGACTCCTAGGTCCGTGTATATCACGCGCATATCAAGTTTTTCTTTATATATCGATAACTACTCCCGATATTTTATTATCGATTGAAAACCTTATAGAAAGCTAGTTATTTAATTATATCTCCTACACCTTTAGAGCTAGAGCTTCCAAATTTTAAATGTGGACGTATATATATTTTATACAATTTCGATTTTTGTTAAAATTTACCCCCCACTCCTATATTCACCCCCTCACCCTCACCTTTGTAAAAGGCGTATTTCAAGTACTAGAGACGTTTGCTTTAGAATGTGCACACATTTTTACCATATGATTACGCTCTGAAAGTTTCATTAAGATTGTATGTCTAGAAATTAAATTATTCAACAAATAAATTCTTATAATGTTGCCCACACTGCAGCGCAGCCCAAGCGCAGTCGCTGCTTACTGCGCAGTTAGCAGAGCGCGTTCTACTACGTGCGTGTGTATGTATGTGTGTCGAAAAGAAGTGCAGACTGATTAGAATATCAGATTAGAGGGTTCAGGGTATCTCCTAGTCGAGCAGTCTCGACTAGAGTCTTCTTACTTGTTTTTCTCTACGATTAGACCACGTCTTCTCCCCACTACCTTTTTACTTATTAATTCAATCATGAGTTCTTTAGACATAAATTTTACTAATATTCAACATAAAGCATACAGCACATATTTTTAGATAAAAATTAAAAAAAAACGAAATTTGTATGAAAAAACAAGTAAGAACGTTGCAGTCGGGCGTTACCGACTGCGGAATACTCATTCACACCCCATCAGCAATTTAGTTGCTAAGTTTCGCTCTAATACTGTAGAAAATGCAGTTTTTCCCGATTTGCCACGTCTACTGGGCGTAGACACCTCGTTTTTGGTCAGTTCTTAGAACGAGATAACAGTACCCTAACTGCAAAGTTTGAATGCTTACCCTCAAAAAATGTGAAAATTACAGGGTATTTTTCGATATGCCACGCCCTTAAAGAGGCGTAAACATTATTTTTGGATCATCATAGAGGAGTTTACTGGTATTTTAACACTCTAAATTTAAAGCTTCTAGCTATTATACTTTGAGAGATATCAACTTTTGCGGTTTGCCACACCCCATGTGGGCGGACGTATATCCGATAAAGCTTTTTGGTGTTGCAAAATTTCAGCGCTCTATCTGTAAAACTCTTGGAGATACAGTTTTATCCGATTTGCCACGCCCCCAATGGGCGGAGATATATCCGCCATAGCTCGTGATCTTGGGTGGTCGACGCGGACCTACATGCCAAATTTCAGTTTTCTAGCTCTTTAACTAACATGATTTCTGGTATATCGGAAAATGCAATTTCCGATTTGCCACGCCCCTAGTGGGCGGATCGGGAAAATTTTAACACTTTATAAATCGGAGATAAACACGAGTATGTGTTCCTAATTTCAAGTGTTTACGGACGAACAGACGGACATTGCAAAAAAACAATAATATAATAATTCACTTTCGTGAATGAGTATAGAAATTTCAAGTATTTAGATCTTATATCTTCTGAGATCGACGCGTTCATACAAGAATGATCAAGAACATATATACTTTGTCGGGTCTGCCACGCCTTCTTCTGCCTGTTACATACATTTAACAAAACCATTATACCCTGATTTCCCATTGAAAATGGGTTCAGGGTATACAAAATGCAAATTAAGAAAATCGTTTTGAAGTCAAATGCGCCCTCCCCCCTTTCCTCTCGATTAACCTACCGTGGCATATGCTGGCTCATACTACTACAACAGTAGGGAACGCGGATGCGCCCGTTCGCTGGATGGACAAACCTCCGGCTTTGTGTTATTGTGCAGATTGGTGTTGAAACCCTCGGCCAGATGGACCCACTAGGATTTGTGGAGACAGTGGAGGAGCGAGACATAACGTATGGCATAGAACCAGATCGGATGCCGAGAGCAATAAGCCAGGTGTTCAGCGACAAGGCAGCGAAGTGGATCTTAACCAGCTTGAGAGACGCGCTCTGGGCCGAGTTTAAAAGAGAATTTTTAGACTTTTTCCTGTCGCCACAATATTTCGAGCGCCTGGGGGATCAAATACGGGCTCGTCATCAGCGAGAAAACTTTAAAAGATTACTTGATTGAAATCAGGCTATTGATGCGCCAAGCGAGGTACAGCGCGGCGCAAGACTTACATAGGGTATATGAGAACGTCGCCCCTAAATATAGACTGTACGTGAGGCGTCACGACTTCACGACGTTGACACAACTGGCTCAGATGGCGACGGAGTATGAGAACGTCCAGGGCCAAAAGAGGATTTGGGAGAAGAAATCTGTGACGACCCATTCAAATGCGCCTCGTGCGGGGCCAGCTGATAGTCGGCCCGGAAACCCGTTCCACGTGCAATCGCCGGAGCCGCGGACGGAAGCGGTGCATCGCATGATGGCCCAGGATGCCGGATTCGGATCGATCCGCGCCGGGTGTGCTACATATGTGCGCCGATTAGGCACTTCGCGAGGGAATGTCGCAACGCGTAAGTACTTTTTGTCGACGATGCGGCAGAAAACGGAGGAGCACACAAGAGTGTTGCTTTCAGACGAATGCGGAAAACAGACAAGGGCGCCCTCGCATGGAGCGGAGTGGCGCCAATTAGCACCAGAAGAGGGAGGTGGATATCCGTTAAAGGTAAAAGAAGGGAAGATCGTCGCGGCGGTGAGGATTGGAGGCCAGAGTATGACCGCCACAATCGACACCGGGGCCACGCGCAGCTTCATGAGTAAAGACGGCGTACGAGCTGTGGAGATAAGAGGAGGTTGAGCCCCGAGGCTCCATGCTGGACCCCGCCATCGGAGAAGCGGAAAGCTCGGGCAAAGGCAGGATCGCAGAGGCCGCCGAACATCTGGCTGACAGGAAAGGAGACAGAAAGAAGAGGACGACGCAGGGCCTCCCCCCGAAGCCGTGGGGTGGCCGGATGACTTGGAACCTAGCTTAAAGGAGTTTCTGGAGACCGAGCTGTCACTCTTCGAGAAGCTAGAAAGAGTGTTTCACATCACGGAACACAGCATCATTATGCGACACGATAAGCTTCTCAAACAAAGGTATTACCCGAAGAGCCCAGCCATGCAGATGGTGATCAACGAGCAGATCGACGAATTGCTCAGAGTCGGAACCATTGAGCCGTCAAGGAGCCCGCACAGGACTAACCACATCTTAGAAAAATTGCGACAAGCCCGACTGGACCTTAAAAGTCGTTATTGGCATTCACCTTCCCGGGAAGAGGCTTGCTCCAGTGGCGGGTAATGTCCTTCGGATTGCACTCGGCGTGGGCAACGTTCTAAAGAGCCCTTACGATTATCGGACCCGAGATGGAACCCCACGCGGTTGCCTACTTAGACGACAGTAATAATCGGAGCTACAAAGGAACAGCATACGGTCAATTTAAGGGAGGTTTTCCGGCGACTTGAGCAGCTACACTCAAGGTCAATAAGAAGTGCAGTTTCTTCTGGGAAAAGTTGGCTTACCTAGGTTACGTCATAAGTGGAGAGGGGATCTGCACCGACCCCGCGAAGGACAGACGATACGGGACTTCCCGGCTCCCACCGTAGTATCCTTTGACAAGTTGCGATACTAACATGATACTTTCAAGACCATTGTTTTAAGAAACGTGTTA